CTGCGGGGCCTCATAAACGAGGTCCGTACGCGGCCCCTGCTCTTGCTCTTGCTCTAGCTCATGGGGCACTTCGTCGTCGTCTTCAGAGGGAGGAGGCGACGGCGATGGTGTGGACACGAGACAGAGTGGACTACGCCCACGCCCCGTCCGCCCGATGGGCTCGTCCTCGAAGAACGTGTTGCCTGGGTCTGAGAAGGTCGCCGCCGGGCTCGTGGCCGCGCCGCTTGTAGGCTCGAGCTCCACCACATCCATCGCACATTCTGCCTCCCTTTCCGCCGCCACTTCCACGTCTCCCTCCCCATCCGCCTCCCCATCCCCGTCAGCCACCCCCATCTCCGTATCCTGCTGTTCCACCTCTCCATTTCCGTTCCCGTTCCCATTTCCATTTCCATTCCCACTCCCCACACCGTCCTCCCCCTCACGCGTCTCACATACCCAGCTGACGGTCACCCCCCGCCCCGGCGGCACCCACCCGCCCAGCCCGCTACACCCGCCCCCATACCGCTCCCTCATCATCCTCTCCTCCCTCTCATCCGCCAGCGCGCGTTCGCCCGCCCGCCGCCGGCGCTCGAGCAGCGCCGCCCACTCCACTGCGCGCGTCTGTCGCTCCGCAGGCGAGGGCGGGAAGCCCTGTGCGGCAGCCGAGTACACTCCCGCTTGCGTGGGCAGGTACGCGGACGGCGACGTGGGGGAAGACGGTACGCTGCCGTACATCGACGCCGAGATAGACAACGACCCTGCGGTCGGGGAAGAAGGTGATAGCGGAAACGCCTCATGTGGGAGTGGCCAATCCGGCGACACAGGCGGGCCTGGCGCGATCCCATTCGCCCCGAGCACACCGAGTGAGATCCCTCCAAGATTCGGGATCCCCTCCATCCCACCTCCATCCGCATCCGCACTGGCGTTGAGCGTGATGCTGTGCGCGCCAAGGGTGATCCCATCGAGGAGTCCCGCGCTCGGCATCGTGTTCGCACCCGCAATAGAAGCGGGTATTTGTAGCGGCGCAAGTGGTGGGGACGACGCAACGGCAGTTGAAGCCGCCGCCAACGTACACGGCGGCCCGATGGTCGAGATCTCGCCCACCGGACGCGCCCCGGCGCACGGGACAGGCAGCGCAAAGGGCGACGGCGCGAGATCCTCGGGCGAGAGCGCGCGCGCGGGCGGGGCGCTGGTGCTGCGTGTCGGTGATGCACTCCTGCCTCGACCATCACCGCCTGCGATATTGGCGCTTCCGGTTGCGGAGGCATTTGCGCTGGTAGCCGTCGGAGGATTTAGGTCCGACGGACTCGTCGCCTGCTGAGCACTCGACGAATCGCCTGCTGTAAATGCCACCCATCAGGCCCTGCCTCACTCGAAAACGACTAGAGAAAGCACATACCAAGCGGCATTTCCACGTCCCCTCGCTCTCCCTCCTTCTCCCGCTCCCGTTCATTATTCTTCCCATCCCCCTCATCGTTCTCCATCGTTAACCGCACCTCCCGCACCTCCTCCTTCACCTGCACCGACACGGGCGCCTTAACCTCCCACGGCGCCCCCGCCCCTTCCCGCACAGGCGAGTTGAGCGGCGAAGACAACCCCTCTCCAGCGCCCCCGCCCTGAACGACCCCCATATCAATCTCATCCAACCTCCCCGGCGCCGGACTCGACCCGCGCACCGCGGGCGAGCGGAGCGTCAGGGGGTGCGAGGTGTTGTTCTGGTTCTGGTTCTTGCTCTTGGCGTTCGCAGCCGCGCTGCTGCTGGTGCTAGCATTGGAAGTGTTCTTGGTGGAGGTGCTACGAGTCGCCCTGCTCTTGTTTGTACTCGCACTCGCACTTCCGCTGGCATTCTGCAAAAGCCGTCAGAAGACTCGACGAAGATACAGTAAAAGAAGAAAAACGGACGCTATTGGCCAACGGATGCGGATGCGCTCTTGTCGTGCGCCTCGTCACTCTCCGCCCCACATTGGCATCCGCGCTGGGATCTGAGCTTGTGCTCGCTGCGCTGGCGGCCTTTCCAGCGGTGCTTTTCGCCGCACGCACCCGCATAGGTGTATCGAGCGACTCGGGATTATCTGCATCCCCGAGGGAGGGCGGCGATGGCGCCTTGCCCTTGCCTTTGCGAGTCGGGGTGGGCTGAGGCTGTAGGAAGAGAAGAGGATTTAGTTAGTGAAAGTTCGGTTTTTGTGACGGGAGGAGGATAGAATAAAACGAAAAAAAATGCAGGCTGTGCCGGACCGAAGCAAGTCACGGCGGAACAATGAAAAGAAAGCAACGATTGAAACACAAAGAAAAGAAAAGACGAAATGAGAAGTGTGGGACCGCCCGCAGAAAGTAGGAATGGGGTAAATCCCGAAAAAGGAGGAAAGGGCGAGTGTCCTCCCCCATTCGCCTTCAGTCAACGCTGACACCCATTCGCAAGCAGACGCCTGCAGTGCATGAGGAAACCAAAGGGAGGAAAAAATAAGCGAGGGAAGCAGGCGATGCGACGCAATCATTCTCCGGGAGACGTGAGATGAGCGCAGAAGGCCACACCACCTCCACACCTAATGAAGCAACGCCGCCACAGAATGTGAAGGAGGGAAAGAGCGAGACGAGAACGAGAACGAGAATGAAAGCCCCCAGGAGGAAAAAGGAGATAGGAAGGGGGGAGGATGGCTGACAGAGCATAAGCGCCGGGGCGCTTAAATGTCGACGAGGCAGATGGGCGGAGCCGGGAGCCGGGGCAAAGATCGCAGGTGGAAGAAGATGGCAGGGAGGGGGGATTTGACAGGAAAGAGGAGAGATATAGAAAAAAAGTAGTGAAATAGGGGTGCCAAAAGATGAAGGCGGCGATGACTCGAGGCCAGTCAACGGGCAGAAGTGAAGCCATGGAGGCAAAATGCGAAACGGAAAGAAATGGGAGAGAAAATAAAGAAATGGGGGAGGGACGCCAGGACCACGAGGCGCAGGGATAGACGCCGTAAGCGCACCGCACGCCCGCAGGCAGTACATCGTAAACAGCCGAGCATGCGGCGTCCTCCCCTGCGCTCTTCCTCCTCTCCCCGTCACTTGGAGGAACGCAACGCAATGGAACCAAGACCACACAAGACCACGACGCCCCCGGAAAAGGAGACGAAAACGATGACGAAGGATAGAACGACCCACCTCGGCCGGACAGCGCACCCGCAGGCGCTTGCGGATCCCCTCCTCGTGTAGATCGGGGCTCTTGCGCTTCTTCGTCGCTGTAGTCGTCGTCGGCTGCACCTCGTGTTCCTCCCCTTCGTCTTCCTGCTCGTCGTCTGTGGTGGGGGTCTTCGCGAGACCGCTCGACAGCCGTCGCGAGGCGCGCGTGGGCGCGCGCGGGGTCTCGTGCGTTCTGGAGCGGGGGGAAATGGGCACACGCGCGGTGGGGGAGGGCGATGGCGCGAAGCGGGCGCTACGCCGGGGCGAGCCGGCGCTGCTCCCATTCCCCGTCACAACTCCCCCTGCGCTACTGCTGCTGCTGCTGGCTGATGCACTGCTCCCGGCGAGCGGGCTCTTCGTGCGCGACGGCATCCGAGTCCCGTGCGCCACGCTGTATTATTTATTCTTTTATTCTTCTTGCTTTTTGATTCCGCCTAGAGAAGGAGAGCGCTGGTGCTGGGTGCTGGTGCTAGTGCGGGGAGAGCCGGGCGGCGGTCGGGAAAAACGGGGCTTGCTTTGTCGCTGCTGTCGGAGATGGGCGTGAAGGCGACGAGGACAGCCTGGTGCCAAGCGCGCGCAAATACCAAACACCGCACGGCACGGGCATGACTCCGACTCACGTGCACCCTTCTCTAGCGCTCATCGTCGAGCTCGTTCGCAAGACGGGGGGGCGGAAAGGAAAACGCGGGCGCGACGCGAGTCCGTGACCGCATTCAATCCCGTTTGCAAATCTGCGTCCGGTTATCCGCGTTAAAAGGAGATGTTGCAACCTGACCCCCGGTCCGTCATCGCAATCAATTATTGACCGAAATAAATGACATTCGCATGCTGAAACCTGCCTTCATGAGGAAACACCGCGCGGCCGATCTGCGGAGCAGGTCACTCCAGTCAGGTTCAGTTACCCGGATCCGCGGTAGGTGAGAGGTTCCTGAGGATCGACATCCAGAAGCATCGTTATCATGTTCCGTACCTAGTTTCGATTCTGCCCAGACCATGATGGATGTTTCTTTGGTAGGAATTTCTTTGAACTCTCCGTTCCGTGTCTAAATAGGTGATAGTGACTGATACGTGTCGGATCCAAAGTAGAGGAATTTGAATACGAGCAAGTTGCAGCTGAATATCACTCCTATGATTTTTACGCCGGCTATCACAACCTTAAATTTTTCCCCTCATGCATCTCAACCGAGCTCGGATGCATTAGGATTCTTATCTTGGTGGCGTCGACGACTGTCATATCAGCTCTCGAACTTCTGATGCTTTCTGGCGATCCGGAAAAAGGTCCGGGTCCCGCGTTGAATTTCAATGGTCAAGATCCCGCTGATGTACATTAAAGACCGAAAGCCACCAATCATCCGAATCGCGCGTCCAATATTATATGACGATCAAGTCGGAAAAATCATTTCTCCCGTAAGTACCAACCGCCGCGGGACGTTCTCTAAATATCAAACACACAAATCGAGTTGACTTGGCATTATCTTGGCTTCCTCGAGTCAACGTCGATCCTCAAAGCAAAATAAACGCTTTTACTTTCGAGTGCCCACCGCTACTGTAACCGCCGTCAACAAGCTCGAACGGTTTCAACTGAGCTTTGACGAGTTTTATCCCGAAATAAATAACCCTCCTCAGGCACTCACAAGCGGCAAGCCGGAAGGTGTCAATAAATCAGTGCTCACATGCAGCCTTAATCTCGCGCGATTTCCTGAAGCCCCCCTCTTTTTAAAAAAAGAAATTCGCTCCCATTAACATCGAGATCTTTAAAAAAAATTCCGGCCATCATGTATCCGACTCCGTTAAACTACGACGTGACCAAAGTCTCGACCAACTCAGCTCAATTGCAGCACGAGACAATCGCTTACACAGCTTTGGTGGGGTAGTGGTAACCTGGGTCGTTGCCATCATTAAGTAATTTGCGGGTTCGACCCGCCGGGGGTTCGATTCCCTCCCAAAGCATTCTTTTTGGGCTTTCTTTTATTGTGGCTGTGGTCATCACTGCGCACCAGGACGACTTGCTCAACACCACTGAGCTGTTCGGGTACGGGCCTGCTGGCTGGGGAAAACTGTCGGTGGCCGAGGGCCTAACCATCGTCGACAGGGCGGACGACGACATCGCGGAGCCGAAGGTGTCGACCGCGCTCATCGCGCATGGTGCGCGATCCGCGACGGCATGGTTAGTCCCCCACTGTTCATGATCCATCTTGTGCCTCAAGCTTCACGCTCGACGGCGTGGACAGGCACAAGGCCACGCGCATCGTCAAGTGGAATATCCAGCGCTATCTCCAGAGTGCGTGCACATCCTCTCCGTTCCCCCCTTCGCTTCCTTTAAATCACGGGTAGTTCGTTGATGCTGATGTGCGCATATAGGCGTGTTCTTCTTCTTCGGCGCTGCTGGCTCTCACTGACTCCGCGCTCGCAGCGACACCGCCGCAGCAGGCAAATAACTACTACACCAAGGCGCGGCCCGCTTGGACGAGACGCCTGGTGTTCAGCCGAAGCAACATGGAGTTTTTAAACGGTAGCCGCTTGGCCTCAGTTATCTCAGAATTCTGAGGAATTACCAGCATATCAAAAAGTTGACAGAACTTGCACAAGAAATGACATGTACGGAGTAGATTTAAGCCCTTCGCCCGCGCTGTTCCCCGGCCTCACAACTCCCTCGTCGTTCTCCAGCCTCTCGTCCCTGCCTACGTCCGTCACCCCCCGTACGAGGTCCCGAAGTTCCACGGATGAGAGAGGGTTTAATTCCGGCGAAGCGCTCACCGGCGTGGTGCCTCCCGGTGGGAGACTGCGCAAATACTGGGTCAAGTAATGGACTCGCGCCGTACATAATCCGAGTTTCAGCGACGACAGGGGTTTTGTTTGGGCCTCCGCATGCAAGAAAGAAAACCGTCGGGTGCGTACGCGTGTGTTCGCCAGCGAAGCGCTCACCGAGGGCACAGACCGCGCACAGGTCATAAGACCCACCACGACCGGGGCAGGTCAGACACTGCACGCGTGGATTTGTGGCGCGGATGACTGTGCGGCACGAGTTGCAGCTGAACGTCCCCCGAGCAAGAGACGGTGGTTCGAGTAATGCTTTCGCGCCATACGAAATCGCGGTTTCAGAGGGAACAGGGGGATGATTCAAGTCGCCACATGGGATGAAGATAACCGTTTGGTGTGCTTGTGTGTGCTCCCCGGCGAAGCGCTCACCGAGGGCACAGACCGCGCACAGGTCATAAGACCTATGACCGACACAGGTCAGACAGTGCACGCGTGGATGTGTGGCGGGGATGTCTGCCTTGCAGGAGTCGCAGAAGTAATCCATCGCATCAGGAAACTTCGCAAATGGTGGTGATTGGGGCCGATTGTCGAATGAGGGTCGTGAGTATGGGGGTGGTCGCAACGCGGAAGTTTGAGGGCTTGCTGACTCGGACTCGGGCAAGGATGCAACCTTGTACGCTGAAATCCTCGAAATACCGGTGGGAGACTGCGTTAATGCTGGGTGGAGTAATGGATTCGCGCCATACACAATCCGAGTTTCAGCGACGACAAGGGTTTGGTTTGGGCATCCGCTTGCAAATGGTGGTGACGGAGCCCGGGGTCGATTGTCAGATGAAGGTTGCGGGTATGGGGGTGGTCGCAACGCAGAAGATTGAGGAGGGCTTGTTGACTCGGACTCGGCCTCAGCCTCGGACTCGGACTCGGACTCCGAGTCGTATTCGCCGTACTCGACTGATGGCGAGTATGTTGAAAAAATCCAATGATTCTTTGCGTCAGTGGCGGTTTCTGCGAGGATAATCTACGCGACGTGAAATAACATAGAAGAATGATACCAGATTGAAGACTTACGGGTGTTTTCATCTCGCCATCCGGCATACTCCAGAACAATTCTGTTGCATCGGTGGGCGAGATCCTGAAACCAGTCGAAATCAGGATGGATTTGAACAAAATAATATGCAGCGATTGCATTTACGATGCACACTTACGTGAAATGGTCTTTGGTGCGGGTTTCCTTGATGATCCACTGCTGGTTATGACGATGTCCACCCATTAGGTGGTCGCCCGACCTCGGGCGGGTCTCGCACGATGCGGCTCTACTGAAACCTAGGTTCTTGATCGTATAGTTGTCGTTGTTGAGCCGTATGACATTCCACTGAATTGCAATCGAATATCTCATTAGAAGAAATACGTCAAATGAGGAGTTGAATTTGCACCCCCTCGCCTTCACGCCTTGGAAGCGCAGCGGAGACGACGTTAGAGTCGGGATTCGCATCCCGGAGAGCAGCGAAGTTCTTGAATCTGGCGTTGGTGATGGTGTATCTACCAGTGTCCAGCAGCGGCATGGTTGCAAAAACGAAGTTCGGGCGTAGGCAAAACTGGGACAGTGGCTCGCTTATAATGTTGCAGGAACGGTGTCATACCCCCGTACTATGAAAGTCGCCTTGAGGCCAAGTTCCGGCATCTACGCAGGTCATGACAATCTAGGCCGCACCGTAAGTAATGTCAATGCTATCACTTATGCTCAGCTTCTTTGACACCGGGAGAAGCATCTTGTCGATGCCGGGATATTAACGCGCTGATAACGAAATAGGAATAGGATGAGACTAGTGGGGACGTGGACTACTTAAGGCACCTAAGCAGAGCAAGTACGTGGGCTATCATACACCTCAAAAAGTCTCCAACAAAAGGCTCCCCAAAAGTATAGCTGCTAGCAACGCGGTATGTTGAAAACAATGAAGGGTTGAATTTTTCGGCACCTATTCGGCACAACCTCCCACTCTCAGCAAAGGCCGAACAGGGTCCCTCTGATCAACATACAGATGCCTGAACGTTCAACGTCGCAATTCTTACCACTGCGGTCCTTATCGATGGTGCGTCGCCATCCTCCGGGAGCTCCCAGCAAGGGCTTATGGTGAAGACACTGAAGAGCTTGCAGAATCGATGGATGAAACCTTAAAATCCAGGGCGCCTTCCAGTAGCCACCGCAGTTAAAGCGTGTGCAGAGACCCTTTGGTTGTAAATTGTCCTTAAAATCCATCCCCTCCAAGAAAATTGCTCCGTGTAATGATGTGAGGCTGCGATTTTACGGTCGTTACCGAAACTCTGGTGAAAGTAATCACCCAAATCGGATGTTAAGGTTTGAGGCGCAATTTAAACGTCTGGCCATGATTTTTTTTTGGTCAGAAATTATGCTTTCGGAGTACCATTGTACCTGCCGTCGAAGTATTTCGGCAGCAAGTAAGCTTTCCCTGCCGTGACGCACTCAGAAAGTGCGCCAATCCGCGGGCATTGTCTTTCAGAGACCCCCGGATTGGCAGATTACCATCGCGGCCTCGGGTTGGCGAATGAGTTCCCATAACCGTTGAAATAGTGGGGTTCGCCCCGTCGATTCCAGAAGCTCTTCGCAACAAGAGATCTTGTTCCCATGTTAGGGGCTCCCGGAGGATGGCGACGCACGGCACTTCAGACAAACTTCAAGGCCATTCTTATATTGGAGAACCTGAGCGTGCAATGCCGCATTTCCTCCGATATCATTCCTGGTCCACTTGATTGGGGAATACCTCCAGCGATAAATACGGACCCGCAACTGGAAACCGAGTCCAGGTTACCAGCTTTACCTACTCCCGAACTTCAATTGCATATCATGGCCACATTCCCCGACACCGGCAGATACACTATCACTAACGTCAAGTTCAAGAACCTCGCTGTCCTGCCGGACGCGAACGACGAGTCCGACATTGTTGCCGGAACGGACGAAAATGCCGCCAGCGAGAAGGTATGCACCCCACTCCCCAATCGACGTAGTCCCCAACTCAAACAACGGTTGAATTTCAATTCAGTGGAATGTCACGCTGCTCAACAACAAGAGATACACCATCAAGAACCACGGCTTCAGCAACTTCGCAGCGTGCGATACGCGCGCGGAGTTGGGAGAAACCGTCAGCGGTCGCAGCCGCACCAAGCAGTGGGCCATCAAGGAAACCCGCGTCAAGGGCCAGTTCACGTGAGTCGTCGTGAAGTCGATGGAGATTTCTGAGTTATCCTCATCCCGACTCATTTTAGGATCTCACCCACTGATGCTGATTTGTTTTGGGGTCTGGCGGATGGCGAGCTGGGCACGCCCGTACGTTTTCAATGATGGTGCCCTTCTTCCGCGTTTTCTCATCTCAGACGTAGCTTACCCTCGCGGGAGTGCCCACTGACGCCAAAAATCAGTGGATCTTTACGAAGGCGAACGCGTGAGGTGTTGAAAGTGCCAGCCCCCGTAGTCTGACGTCAGTATTCCTGAATTGTACAAACCCTGTCGCGTTCGAACCTGCTACCTGAGTAACCGTGTCGGAAGAATGCCTCAAGCTGCTCGTTGGTGACTCAGACGACCCGGTGATACGCATAGGGCACGTCCGATGAGAGCGCGAGCAAAATAAATTCCTGGCGACTCCGAGGACGACCTGAGGATGGTGTGTGTACGAGGTGGTTCGACCGGCAGGACATGGCGGAGAGCATCAAATAATGATGTATTGTGTGGGGAACGCGGTGTGTCGGGGAATCCGGAACGCGTGAGGTCTTTTTAGTTTGGAAGTGATCGACACGGAAGGGATAATCGGACCGATTAGGCGGCTAGCAATTCAGTGAGACATGAAGCTAGCAACGCGGCAGTACAGAGGCATGTTACAGGCCGACAGCAGTCACTCCACTCAGGTGCAGGCCGTTCAAGAACTCGATCCCGTCCGCACGGAAATCATCCGCAGTCACATTCACGACTAGCGGATCGCTGAAGGTGAGCAGCGATGTCGATCCGTCGGCCGAGGGTGTCTGCCATCTGGGCCAGAACACTGTGTTGGTGGAGTTGGGTGCGGCAGATACATTGGGGTCAAGTGTGTTGATGAAGTTGACTGCATAATGCACATTGAACTCGAGTGAAAGAAGGGAAACAAACAACAGACTTACTCAGTGAATCGATGGCGACCGTG